GGCCATGGCCGCGGCCCTGGTGGCCCGGGGGCCGCCCTCGGAGGAGCGGGGCGCCCTGCGGCGCTACCTGCGGGAGCAGCAGGTACGCTGGCACCCCGACCGCTTCCTGCAGAGGTTCCGCGGCCAGATCGAGCCTCGCGAGCTGGGCCGCGTGCTGGGCGCCGTGACGGCCCTGTCACAGGCCTTGAACCGCCGCGCGGAGGCCCTCAAGTGACCCTTGCGCGGGCGGGCGCTCCGAGCAAGCCTGGCTCGCGGGCCTGCGCCGGCGCTTCTGCCTTTTTCCATCACTGGGGTTTTCACCCCCATGACATCTTTGCCGCCGCCCGCCCGCCGAAAGCCGCAGCTCCTACACTCCGGCCGCGCTCCCGGCCCTGCCTGGCTCCCTCTGCACTGGCCTGCGTGGGGGTCCTGCCCACCCTACCCCGCAGTCTGCGGCTGGAGGGAGAGCTGCGAGCAGAGGCGAAAGGGGAACAGCACCAGTTCCCTCCCGCCCCCCAGGCAGAACCACATCCTCCTCCCCACTAACACCCCCTGCGCCCCGCGCAGGGCTTTCCCTCTGCTGAGTCACTGAATGCACCATGTTGAGGGTAGCTAGTGTTGGGGGCACCGTGCAGAGGCTGGGGGCGGTCGGTCAGGATGGAATCAGGCTGGAGGAAGAGCCCTGCGAGGGAAGAGAATTTCAGTTGCTAAAATTAGCAGCTGGGGAAGCAGGCGGAAAGAGCCAAATTATGTAACCTGGGTTATCTAGTCTGAGGCAACCAGAGGCCCACGCCCTCCAACACCTCGGGGCCCAGGCACCATCCGAGGCTGGCTCCTCCATCCACCTTGTGCCCCACCCCGAACCTAGGCCTTCCCTCAAACGTCTCCTTCCCCAGGAACTGGTAGTGGAGGGCCTGTGGGCTGGAGGGAGAGGGCCTGGGATTTGCAGAAAAGAGGAGGCCACATTCACCCGCTGTTCAGTCTTGGCTTCTACTCCGGCTGCTCGGAAGCAGCGGAGAACGTGGCCTGAGCCCTGGGACAGAGCTCAGAGAAAGAAAGGGCAGAGTGAGGCGCCTCATAGAGTGCGAGCCACAGCAGAGGGTCTTCCTAAGTAGGCCCCAGACCAGGTTTCATGGGAGGGCCCGGCAGCGCCTGTAGAAGCTGATGGACAGGATGGGGTGGGAACGAGGCCCGTGGAGAATTCAGCCTGCAGGTGGGAGAGGCCGGACTGCAAGGACCAGGCTGCTGTGGGGTGTGGGGAGGGCGCTGAGAGCATCCTGGGAGAGGAAGCTGCTACGATTCGATTCGGAGAAGAGGCTTCACCCCACAGCCGCCCAGGCGTCCGGTTCCTCTCACAGGCCGGAGGTTTCGGAAGTGGCATGCAAACAGCCTGGGTTCCAGCTGGGGGAGTTGGGGTTCAGATCCCTGAACTGAGTGGGGGCTGAAAAGTAGGCAGAGGAAAGCAGGGTCCAGATTTGCCCCTCTGCCCAGGAGACCCTGTGGTTTGTAGTCACATAATTTCCCCTTCTACAAGGGTCTCACAAAACCAAAGCAAGATAGGCCCCCAGACCCTTTTCCTTAACATCCCCTGCTGCCGTCTGGCCCCCAGCCCTGTGGGGGTTCCCCAGAGATAAAGGCTGCTCACTTTCTCTGACCACACAGTTTCCGCTTCTGTCTCTTGTTTCCTAGGCCGATAAAAATACTGAGCCCTAGAGGCCTTGGCTTCCTCTAACCCCCCGGGGCCAGGTAGCAGGCATCCTGTCCACCACGGAGGTCTGGGTGGCTCAGGGATCCCCAAGGGCTGACTCAGGGCTCAGGTGAGCTGCTGGGGAGGTGGAAGCCTGCGATCTCCACTCCTCAAGTTGGGAGCAGGACTGGTCTCAGTGAATGATGCACTGGGCTTCAGTTTGAGAAACAGGGCTGGGAAGAGAACAATGAAGTAGAAGAGGGTGGGTCTGGGAATTGGGTCAGGATGGGTTAGGGTTAAATTAGCAAAAGGATCTAGGAGGGATTCTGTTCCCTTCAGGTCTGAGAGGCCTTCTGACAGATTCAACCCTGCCTCAAATGTGTGACCCATGCGGGACAGGCCCACGCTCACCAGCTGGTTGAAGGCACTGACTGAGAACTTTATAGTAGGTCATGAAGGGTACAGATGGGAGGCTCCAAGAAGGGACAGCCTCTCCGCAGGCCTGGCCAACAGGCAGGGGCTCAGCAGGCCGGCCAAAGGAAAGTCCTGGGGAAACCTTCAGAGAGCTGGGAGGTCAGAAACACACTGTGTCCAGGGCAGAGGAGGCACAAGGGAGAGAGCACCTGGGCCCCAGGACACCGAGGCCAGGGGCTTGGACTTTTGTCCCATGGTGGTGTCCTGGGGACATCCACAGAAGGAAGGCATGTGTCAGCTTTAGATGGCCAGCGTGCGCTGGCAGCCCTTCCAGGTCATCCTGCTGTGGGGCTCAGGACGCAGTGCCCCAGTGGTGCTCCTCGCATGCTGACGGCTCTGAAGGAAGGAGCTGAGCTCACAGTCTCTCCCTGACCGTTTTCCTCAATCTTATTCCCCCACAAAGTAAATCATAAAAACCAGAACTCCTCTTTCACGAAGCCGGCTATGAAAACCTAGAAGTACTCTAAGGTTCCTCCTGTCTTTTCCAAGTGACAGCTGGCTGAGGCAGGGTCAGTGAATGGTGACGCAATCCTTGGCCGGCAAGCAAGTCATGAAACCCTCATTCCAGCGGGTCCTGCCCCCCCCCCCCAGGCCGCTCCACAGGCTGTGCTGGGCTTGCTACTCCGATTGTACCCATTAGGTAGATCGTACCTTTTGGCCTAATATCGTTTTGACATGTCTGTTCATTCTTCATCAAATCTGAGCATAAAAATGGACAGTTTTTCTAGGTGTGGAGGTGCACACCTAGGGTCCCAGCTACGCAGGAGGCTGAGGGCAGAGGGTCACAAGGTCAAGGCTAGCCTGGGCTGCGTAGCAAGACCCTGTCTCAAAACCAAAGGTGGGGAGAGCTCAGAATGTAGTTAGATGCTCCCTGGATTCAGTCTACACTCTTCTAAGTCTTCCATGATCTTTGATTTTTTTTTTTTTTTTTTTTTTTTTTTGAAACTGAGGATTGAACTCAGACCCTTGCACTTGCCAGGCAAGCGCTTATTCTACTGAGCGATCTCCCCGGCCCCTTGAGTCTCATTTTTGAAGGCTCCTCTGTCACATAAAACTTTAAATAAATAAATTTCTTAGGCTTGTCTCTTCTGAAGCTGTCTTGCTACAGGAGTGTGAGCCATGCCCTACATGAGGGTCAGGGAAAGGGTTTTTATACTTTCTGCCCCTGAGCTATCAACATCTGTGCAGGTAAGAAAACCAGGGGCCATAAGACCTGCTGTGACCTGAAAAAAGGAGTGGAATTAGCATAACATCTGACTCCTACTCACTTTCTACTCGTCTCAGGAACTCCAACTGCCAACTTGGAGGGGACACGAAGCCACGGCATGTGCCTGGTGCTGTGATAGAGAAAGAGGAATCTTCGATAACTGCAAGATTTGAAACCATAAAATAGGAAAGTGTGACGGCCTGAACCGAGGAGGAGAGGCAGAGGGAAGGGCGGGAGGTGAGTCGGCCAGGGCACTGCGGGAAGCCCTGTCAGGAGCAAGCACTTAGGCAATGGGCATAAATGAGGAAGCCACAGGTAGAGAACCTGCGCTGCGCACACGGAACAAAACCAAATACAGTACCGACTAGACAGCACCGAGGTGCCCCTGCTGGAGTGAGCAAAAGCTCGGAGCAGGCCTGCTGACCTAGAGGTGGGAGCCAGCCCGGTGGAATTTTCAGCAAGCGCCACTGGAGTTCCAGAGTTTGGGCTCGAGGAGCAGACCTGGGCACAACTCCCTCCGCACAGAGGCCGAGACTTGGAGGGGACAGAAGCTTCAGGGAGAACACAGCCAGCAGAGGAGTCCCGGTGCGCGGAGGAAGAGAAACTAGTGAGAGGGGCTGGGAACAGGCCTGGAGCGGGACAGGGCCCAGCAGCTGTGCCTGGGGCCACCACGAGCTCGGGAGGGGCCAGAGCGGCGCTCGCTCTGCAGCCCAGCCTGGGGAAGCCGAGAGGGGGTCCCAAGCCGAAGCCAGCCTGGGCCACTGAATGCACCGCATCTCAGAACGTGGGCGGACCAGCCGTGCCACTTGGCGCCCCCCCCCCACACGCCTGGCCCAACTTCCCAGTAGTGAAAAAAATAACAAGGTGTGATAGGTGAAGGTTAAAAGGGACCTTTCGGTTTAGGGACGAGACGATTACAAATTTTGAGAGAAGAGTTTCCGTTTAATAGAGGAGCAGAAATCGCTTTACACTGGTTGAGGAACGAGTGGGTGGGGAGGCGAAGGAGGTGGCAGCTGCGAAGTCACAGCGCGGTGAATACAGAGCAGAACTAAGAATCGTCTTTGCTACCCACAAACTTGGCAGAAGAGGAAAAGTTTACCAGTTCTGAAAAAGACTTAGTCAAGGGGTCTCGCATGAGCCATGACACAGGAAGGGAAGGTGAGGGATGAGGGGGTGTTCAAGGGAGTACCAGTGCAAGGAGGGGCTGCAGGGCTCTGTTCTCAAGAAACAAGAGTGAATAGGTCTGTAAAGTGGAAGGACAGTCGAAGAGGAAAAGATACTGAGAGAAATATACACAGTTGTTTTTTTTTGTTTTGTTTTGTTTTTTGTTTTGTTTTGTTTTGTTTTGAAAAAGGGTCTTACTATGGTTCAGGCTGGTCTTAAACTCGCTACGCAGCTGGACTTGAACTTGTAGCCATCCTCCCGCCTCAGCCTCCTGAGTGCTGAGTCATCACACCGGGCTTTGAAAATACTTTGTTAATGGAGGAGAATATAGAAAAGAGAAGGGATGGTTGGGCATGGTGGCGCACGCCCATAATACATAGTGAGACCTTTTTTTTTTTTTTTTTTTTTTTTTTTTTTTTTTTAAGGAAATGGGATAAAGAGTAAAGACTCCCACAAGAAGGGATGAGCAGAAAGAAAGGAGATCCACCTTGGACGGGCATAAGCTCAGTGGAGCAGATGGCGACCTCAGTGAACAAGAGCAGCAGGTCAGTGAAGGACACAGGGAAGGACACAGGGAGGTGAAGACTTACAGGAGAACAACAGGAGAAAGGAGAGAAGCTGGGGGTGAAGAACACCTTGATGAGGGGAGAGGTGGGAGGGTGGGCTGGGAGAGAAACAGTTCAGAGCTCAAGCTCGAGAACTGGTGGCCCTTGCACGTGACAGCAGGGGCTGAAGGTGCAGCCTTCCGGGGCTTACGTAGAGGCAGAGAAAGGCTGTAAAGCTGTCAGAGATGGGGCTGGGGAGACGGCTCAGTGAAATAAGCACTTCCCTGGCAAGTGCAAGGGCCTGAGTTCGATCCCCAGTTCTGCCAAAAAATAAAACTGTCAGAGAAAGAAAAGAAGCCCGAAACGTTGGCGCACGCCTGCTCTCCCAGCGCCTGGGAGGCTGAGGCCAGAAGAGCACAAGTTCAAGCCCACCTTCAGTGACTAAGGGAGCGCCTGTCTCCAAATAACAGATAAAAAGAAGGACTGGGAATGTAGCTCAGCGTGAAGGCCGCAGGCTCAACCTGCACACAGGAAAGCGAGATCCAGAGCCTGAGATCCTCCAGATCCATGTGGCTTCAAAGCCATTAAAGATGGTGGCAGGGGATGGAGTTAAGAGGCTGATGAGAGGCAGGTGCTGTGAAGCGTGCGGCAGATGCAAAGGTTTTGAGAGGTTTTGAGAGAAGAGCTTCGCAGTGGTGCAGGGGGAGAGAAGGGAACAGGGTCCCCTCCTGCTGCCTCCCTGAGGAGAGCAGCCTCGGGGGGCAGGTGCCCCGGCCCTGAGGGAAGGGTTCAGGGATGGCGAGGCTTGAGGCTACCAGGCTCCTGGGGCACTGGCTGGGACAGAGAAGAAGAGGGGTCCTGTGGGCATGGAACTGAAGCCTGGGACCCCGAACCCCACGGAGGGAGTGGGGAGGGTTTCGTTTCTGGGAGCCAGAGCTGTTGCTTCAGGATCCCTAAAGGCAGATGCGCAGCGGGGAAGACACGGGGCTTGAGGGGCTCTGCTGGAGAGGCAGGCAAGCATCTCTTCCAGCGCCATCTCCACATGGACGGCCCCCAGTGAACTCTGACTCTGACGTGGCCCTCGTAGTCCCAACTCACAAGCCCAGGGCCCACACGACGTCTCGCAACTCCATCCACGGAATGTGGACTTAACACATCCACAACAGCGTTGGTTCCCTGCCTCTCGGAACCCTGCCCCTCTCCCCGACCCAGCCAGTGCACCCTCCAGGCCCGTGGGTTCTGCAGCAACGCAGCCAGGTGTGTGTGCTCCCCCCGTACGCCTCTTTTCAGCAGGACTGGGGTCCCTGTGTTTGCAGTTGCCCCCTACAGCTAATGGCAACGCCTACATCTAATTGCACACACACACACACACACACACACACACACACACACACACACACGCCCTCCAAAGCTTCTCTTGGCTGAACAACGCTGAGACGTTCCCTCCACCTTCCATGCCCTGCCCTTCCACCGACCTTGTCTCCCACACTGGCTTTGGCTGCAGCCTCCTGACCTTTCTAGACCTTTCCCTTCCTCAGCACCTCCAGTGTCCCGCCTTCCTGCTTCAGCCTTCGTGGTCCCTTT